CCTTTTGAAATGGCAGGCAGACACAAGTCCCGATGGCTCTTCAGCTGGGGACACAGATTCTTTCAGTCCCCTGGGCCCCTTACTGCCCCACACAGCCATTTTTAATGGCTTTCAGCTCTCACTTGCTATTTGAATCTTTAATTCAAATGTCAGTCCAGGAAAGCACGCCGAGCAGGCCCACGATAAGCTCATACCATCTGCATTAGTGTATTCCTCCATCATCTTGACAGTTGAGAGTTGGCAATATTACAATTCAGACGGCACTTTGCGTTTGAAAGGAAAATTATGGTTTTTCAGAATGCAGCTGGTGTGCAAGCGAATAGGATGAAGTTTCTATGAAGCTTTGTCCTCATTTTATGATATGAAAATAATAAAATGTAGATTCAGCATTGATTCTTACTTTAAAAGAATAACCAAAAGGCACAGAGTTTTGAGGACAAAGGAAGACAAGGAATTCTGTTCCACAGTAATAATTTTGATAAAAAACCAAAACAGCAAAACAATTATTTCTAAATGATTTCTTCTCTGTTGGAGACGTTAACATTGTTATTGCTGTACAAGCCGCTTGGAAATGAGCTCCTTGGGTGCCTAGTTAAGATACATTCTTTACAGCACCTTTTCAGTGTACCAGTTAGGCAGGAAAAACTACAATTCACCTTCCTGGAGGGAACTGAGCTGAAGTACAGCCGGTGGGTGAGAGAGACCCTCACAAATCGCTCTGCAGGTTTAGGAGCAAACGAAACAAGATTTCTCATGTGTGAAAAACAGAGGCAAGACAAAAACAAGCAGAGAAGCAGTGTTTTCAAATGTTTTCCTTCCTGTCACTTCTGCACATTATAACGGGACACCTGCTTCTGAGAAATACATCACACATGCTACCTCGCTGGAACTAAGATGTTTCAATGCTTCTGTGTCTCAGTTTCCTTCTCGGTCACCCAGTGGCAGTGGTGTGCTGATAAATGTTTAACAGCCAGCTCTCTAAGGGGAAAAACTTGACATGTAGTGTCTGCCCATCTCTGTGGGATAGCATATTCCCACCATGGCTGATTTCAAGTTACCGTTGTGATGTCACTGAATGGTGGAGCTGGGACGAGATGCACTGTAGCACACCGTTATACAGCATTTCCACCGTACGAATCCAATAGATGTCAATAACCTCAAGAGCATAGAAAATAATACAATAATTAGGAAGTGATGAATTTTGAGTATTTATTACCTACATTTTTAATATACTTTATTTAATTTTAGGTTTATGTAATTCTTAATGATGGCTCTGTTTACCAACCAGCTCAAAAAATTCCTGAAAATTTAACAATCCGCTGTCATGGGCTGGTACAAGCCAGCTCCAGCATACCACTGGTGTTCTGGGGACCTCCAGGTGGGTCTGAACAAACCAGCCACCTGCCTAGTCCTGCCTTTGCAAAGACCTTTATTAGTTCTGCAGAGTGATTCAGAGCCCCAGCTCTCCCCTTGAAGGAGATCAGCGTTCCTTTTAAATGGGAGATTCTGGGAATCCCACTCGGGACGGGCCCAGGATAGCAGAATTTTAGCTGCTTTATTGGCTGGTTCCATCTGATCTGAGAGCTGTCAGCCCCAACTTGCCATGCCAAGTCCAGATGGTGCTATCGGGCTATCAGAGTTCCCTGCACAGCCCCCCGGCCTTCTGCACTCCCCTCACCCTCTGTTTGACAGATTTAATTCAAGCCCCTGGCACCTCCTCCTTCTATTTGATGCGAAGCCAGCAAACCTATTACAGGAACAGCCAAAGAAACCAGGTGCTAAATCATCCAAGGTCAGGCTGCTCATCAGCTTTCCAGCCTCCCAGTTGTCCAGGGCAGCCTTTCCTCCAGGATTTTTCTAAGCCAAATACACCCCCTATATCTTACCCTACAGTATCATAGACTCTCAAGGATGGATGGACCTCCTAATCATCAAGCCTAAACCACAGCATGCTTGAGCAGCTGCCAGCCCCCTTAACCCCAAGCATCTCTTTTCCCAGCTGTAAAGCTGCTGTCTGCCGGCTTTTATCCCTTGGCACTGAGCCACGATCGCGGGAAGGAGCTGTTGTGATTGCTGACAGTGGAGGAAGCAAGAGGCAAGGAGCCTGCTGAAAGCCAGACATGTGGTTAAGTGCTTCACATTCAAGATTGTGTTTATTTATCACATCTATAGGGGATGAAACGAAGGTTTAGCAAGATTAAGTGACTTTCTCGACGTTACACAAGCTATAAGTTATCGAGTCAGGATTTGAGCCGGGGCTAACTCAACCTGGCACCATTTACATCAGTCCATGGTGCTTTCCATAAAGCATGATGACCCTGACAGCTAGTGGTGAACATGGTTCTTGTGATACCTGGCTAGCGTGGTGGGGATGAAAAATACATCATCCTAAGAGATGGCACTCGAGTTCCTCTTCAGGAGGGAGCCATCTTTGTTTAGGAAAATGCCTTTAATGAGCCAACTGTCACAGAAGATGAAATTTTGAAGGTAAGGGTGTTGGAATCAAATTAAGAAAGGGAATGGCTATACTGCTGTACTAGGGAACGCAAATGGATTTGGTTTGTCCCAAGAAGGGAGACAGGTACCATGCAGAATGGAAGGTGTGTGGATTCCTCTGTAGTGTCTCAGAACATTATATGAATGGGGGCGCCATGTCTGCATTGCTGCAGTGTCTTCCATTTCCTCTCACATCAGTGAAACACACACAGGCACACACGCACGTGCACACACACAGACTCATTTGAATTTTGGTGTGTGTGAAACTGGGGGAGGGAATTGAGCATGTCTCAGCTGATGCAGTGCAGGGATGAAACACCACCCTTGCTTAAAATGAGTTAGCTGAGGTCTGGAGTCAGCAGTGATGGCCACAATGTAAGTCCCTTAGAAATCACAAAGATCCAAAGGCTCAGTTACCAGACTTACCTGGATCTCAAGGGGCGGGGGGGGGGAGGGGGGGTCCTCATCAGACATGTGGACTACAACAGGAAGGAATCGCACCTAGTGGCTGGCTGCAAGGGGGATGCACTGTGGAACTGCAAGTGGGAGGGAAATTCTGACTGTGGCTGATTGCAGCTGGAACAGGTGTATCAGTCAAGATCCCTGCTCAGGTGTGCCTTCAAGCCCTTGGCCTCTGCAGAGGCCCACAAAGGCCTCCACAAACCCAAGACATTCCACAGTGAGGGAACACCAGCCAAACCGGGGTGAAGGGAGCCTTCAGTCATCTTGGCAGGGGCCTGCTCCCACATCCCATCACTGATGGTATGCGGTGGGGCTAAATGGTCTAAAGAAGGCACAGGCCACGAGCCAGCTTGCACCATGGAAATCCACACTCGCCTTTGGGGCTCTCACCTAAAAGCCATCCAAGAGCTGAAGCCAACATCAACACCATGTTGATTCAGAGCGGAGGCTCAGCAGAAGGGGAATGGGCAGAGGGCGGGTCCAGGATGGCAGCCATAACAGGATGCCAAGGAAGAACAGAGCCACCTCTGGTAGTATGTTAAACTGGATGGGGAATCAGACCGCCCGGCTCCCAGCATTGCTGCTGACTAGCTGTGTGCCTTGGCCTCTGGGATTCAGATTCCCTGGCTGTAATGGGGGACTGAACTGGTCTCCAAAGTGCTGTTAGTCCTGTGGCCTCACATCTGGCTCTGTAGGTGACTTTCTCAGTGTTGCCTGGGAGCCTCAGTGAACATGAAATGGCAGAGTGAGCCTACCAAACAGGGCTGGGATGCCAGCACAGGGCCCAGGACAGTCCCACATGCTGGCATGGAGGACACATCTGGAGAAGGAAATTGAAAGGCTTGAAGGAACAATGTTTCGTACTTAGCTGTGTGAGTTTTAGAAGGAGGGCTGCAGAGTCTAGCCACAGACTTGGAATGGAAGCATAACACAGTTTTAAGAAAGGATTAAAATAATATATTCCCGGGGCTGGCCCTGTGGCCTGGTGGTTAAGTTTGGCGCACTCTGCTTCAGCGGCCTGGGTTCAGTTCCTGGGCACAGACCTACATCGTTCATCAGCAGCCATGCTGTGGCGGTGACCCACATACAAAATAGAGCAAGACTGGCACAGATGTTAGCTCAGGGCGAATCTTCCTCAGCAAAAGAAACCCCAATATATTCCTGAGATGGGTGGTCTCCCAGGTAAACACATTTGAAAGCCAGGATCTGATCTTGAGTCACAGAGGCCATCAAAAACAGCATGAGGTTTTCTACCAGGCCGCAGCACCAGACCTAAGAACACGACCCTCAGGGATGGTGACAAAAGAGCACTGTTGTCAGTTCCTCTTCCCAAAACATCTGCACAGACTGACAGCAAACAGAAGCCTCACTTCCAGGTGCAAAGGAGAGAATTAAGTGAAGCGCCCTGTTTTTCTGACTTGGGGGTCGCTCTCCCACATGGTTCCTTAAACCGACCTCAGACAGCTGGGGCCCTAGGCTTGCCCGCACATGGCATTCTCGTTCATTAACTTCTGGGAGGGTCAGCTGTTACTGGGGTGATCCTGGAACCCCTAGCGACTGCTTTAATCTCTGCCCAATTTACGTTCAGAGTGTTCTCAAGACCAGCATTCATCAGGACTTAAAGGGGGGATGTCTCTTTCACTTCTGCCGAGGTGGACGGGAATCCATGCATCTCATCATCTTTACAGAGAATAGTTTCAAAGACCCTTACTTCTAATCAATACATATTCATGATTCTTTCATTAAAATAACCCACAGAAGAGCCATTTCTTCCTCCTTCCCACTAGAATTCCAGATGATCCAGGTTTCTTATTTCTTCAACTGAAGTGTTGCAAAACTATCCCAGACCTTTCTCCTTCCTTTTCCTCCCCTCCCAGTCCTCAACAGCCGTGGAATCCTCTCTTAGCTGGGAGCAGTGAGCCTGCAATTATGATACTAATAGCTTGTCATCCACTTATATTGTTTATCAGATCCTAAAGCCCCAAAGCCACATGCTGGCAACCCACACACCCGTTAGCAATCAGACAGACAGCATAAAGACATCTTTCCCAAGTGCAGAATCATATATATTCTGAGTGACTGAGCTATTGGCATTCAAGTTTTGACCAGTTTCAAGATGCTACTACCAGATAATGGGAGACCGTATACACACACTGCAATTTATGTTACATAAGGAAGACTGTTAGTTGGTCTATGAGTCAAGAGTTTCAGGTTCTACACGCTAACATCCAGAAAGCTGTTTGAATACACTAAGAGCCTTACTCCTTTCAGGTCGTAAGGCCTGTGAGAAGCTGCATCCTTTCCAGGGCCCCTGCCACTGTTTAGTGTGCTGATGTCAAGAATTCACGGCCTCTTTCTTAACTCCCTCAGAGGAGGGGTGATGAGAAGCTGTTACAAAACCAGGTGTGAGAAGTGTTCTTCCATCAGCTCACACATGATACAATCTCAGTAATTCACTCACTTTACTCTCAGAGTAGGCCCAAGAGGGAAACAGAGCAGGCATCTGCCCTAGCTGAAGAAGGGAAAAATGGACGCGGAGTCCACCTGATTGCACCAGGTTCCATCAGCTGTTTAAGGGGAAAGCCAGAACCAGGACCTGGCTCTGTGCCCCATGTTGCTTCCAGTAGGCCTTGTGGGCAGCTGTGACAAGGGTGGCCTGGCCTCCCATCTGAGGCTGACAGGGTCCACAGCCAGTATGGGAAATCCTGGAAAGGGGCTCTGACGCGGCAGGGATCCAGCTTTCTCTGCTTCCGGACAGGGATCGGTTCCAAGGAATGATGCCAATGACCACAGATGTCACTGGCAGCTGGAAAATGGGCCCCCTCTGACAAATCTGGAAGCACTCTCTAGCTGCTGTGCTCAGGATGGGACCCACTGGCATCCTTTTAGATAAAGTAGGGAGACTGGGCTTACACTAAACAGTGGGGAGGAGTGAATGCAGCTTCCAGAAGGTCATCACGTGGTTCATGTTTACACGGAAAGCATCTGGCCAATTCCAGCAAGAACAGACCTAGAACTATCCTTCTTCTAAACCCACCCTGAGTGGTAAAGGTAAGGTACATGTCTTAACCTATATACAGGTGAAGTATTATCATTTTCAACTGTACAAGACACATTACTAGAGTTACACTTCAGTGGCATGCACCCTATGTTGGACTGCATTTAAACTACATCTGTACAGCGTGACATCTCCATTACATGGTGCTGAACATTTTTCCATTGTACAATTGTTACTTGGTGAGATCTGATTTTAGCCACAATATTTTAAAAGCCAATTTCTACTTAAATGTGTTGTGAAAAAATGTAATAGTTTGACTCTATACACATTTTCCATTTACAGCAGAATAAGTACAGGAATTTATACACCCAAATGGGTGTTGTTGCCTTCGAAGTAGTCACCTTGGGAAGATGTATGGTCTGTTTAGTCCAGTGAAGCTGGCCTTACTCAGAACATTTCTAGAACCCTCCTTGGCAATGGTCCACTTGTAACCTTCCTCAATGTTGGTAAGTCTTTGTCCTTTAAGGGTAGATTTATTTTTTGAGGAATGATTTCTTAACAGCCAAAGAGCATTAAAAGGTAAGACCGATACATAACATAAGTGATGGAGCTTGGGACTACCATGGGGGAAGGGTGGTGTGAAAACAAGATCTGACTTTAAGGTTGTGAGGCCTCTTTCCTTGCATGGCTTCGAAGATAACTCCAAAGAGGAATTCTATGTGTTGTTGGCACATGCAACATCACAGCTCAAGAGTATGGTCTCCGAAGGAAATAACTCCAATTGTGGGAACTCTTGAGTGCATATGTTTAGTGTATTTGGTTCAAAAGGTAGTCTTGCTCATTTTCAGTCATACTTCATATAAGCAGAAATGGAACATTCCATCTCCATGATGTCTCCCAAAGGAAGGATCATCCTCTACTGCTTGAAGAGTTAAAATGAAAAGCACTTGGTGTCATGTCTGCATTATCCGACTTCCCCCGAAATGTGCAATGAGTATTCCTGATACCTGAGTCTCCCAGGTTTGGAAAAGTGGGTAAGGACAGGTCTCTGGAACCTGGATAAGACTAGAATGTCAAGGGTATTGGAGTGTGTTTCCAATGGCTCTACCTAACAGGCCCACGACACCATCTCATACAAGAAAACCTCCAAGAGCTAAGCACTCCACAAAGTTCCAGTAGAGGAGGGGGAAAATGATTATCTCCCAGTAGCTTTCCATGACAAAAACCCACTGGCTTCTGGATGACATCTGAACAAAGTCCACTGAAAAGAAAGTCCATGGTGTTCGATTCTAGTGCACGCTTAAGAAAGAAAGTGTGTGGCCACTGGCTCATTGAAGTGCATTTCCAGCTGAGGCCGAAGGCAGCAAAGGTGCGAGAGGCTGCTGGGGCTGGCATTAGTTGAAGCAGGGTCCATAAATTCGTAGTGGCAAAGCAATTTGTAGAAAGCCCCAGTTACAGAGCAGGACATTTGCCAACGAGTGAAGTCAAAGAACATTTGTTCTTGCTTTCTACAAAGTGCTTCATTGAAAATGCTAATGAGGAAGCTCCCTAAAACACCATATCCTGAGTGTCAGAGAAACATGGTCAAGATGGTGACTGTCAGGGGAGCAGAGGCTGACCCTCTTATAGTGCTTGAACTGAGTCGTCTCCAAGCATCACACGCACACACTTAATGAAGAGCACATAACTACAGTCACGTTCCACCTCTTCTGCATGCGTCTCCATCAGGGGGTTGCTTTTGAGTGTAGTATTTCCAGGAGCCATTCTGAGAAAATGGGCTCTATTGCTAGAAGCCAGAAGCCAGCACAGAGTCAGTGCCTTAAGTCAGCCATAATATCCAAGTGCTCGCAGCAGACATGGGCCCGAATTGATCAGTCGGGATGTTGTTCTTGGTGAGTGTTTTTAAATTAGTCTTCGTAAAAACCACAAAGCTAGGCCATTTGCTTAAATCATCGTTATAAAGAATGCTGAGTGCCCAGATGGGATTTCTAGTTTCTGTGCAAATGAAATCACATTAGTCCAGATTTTATTCACTCAAAACTACTAAGGAAGCAATAGGATTTGGTTTATACGCTGCCAAAAAGTAGGAATTCACTTAAGTTTTAATTCTGAAGCAATCCTGTTGTTAATGTTGTAGCCGGGTTCGGGCAGCATGGGGGGCGGGGCCCCTGTTGTGCTTGCTGAGGAATCTCGGATCTCTGCCAGTTCAGGCTCACTCTCACTAGAGGTAGACCCACTGTTGATGGTGTAGACGTTTTCTGCAACTCCCTGAGCTGAAGCACAGCCATCTGGCTCTTTCTTCTCCCTGGGACTCGACAGTCCTGGGAGGACGGCCATCTTCCCAGTCTGCCTATTTGGCAGCAAGGACATGGTGTAGTCTGCAATGATCCCACCCACATCTAAGTTGCATGCCTGGTCGAAGGCTAGGAAACCGACGTTGGCATTTGCCTCACACACCACAAAAGAGCCATCGTCCATGATGAGGAGATCAATGCCACAGAAGTCCATGCCCAGGATGTTGGACACCTGAATAGCCAACTGCTTGCCTTGTTCTGTCAGTGGGCACATGACACCCACACCACCTATGGGGAAAGCACAGTGATAGAAGAGCGACATCAGACACTGACTAAGGATTCAAATTACCCAGCAAGGAAGAGATGGGGGAACGCTAAGGAAGGCCAACAAGATGGGCATTTTCATTACTCACAAAAGGTCTGGATGGAAATCAGGACACCCTCTGGGAAAACAATATGGCCATTTCTTATCTAGAGATTTAAAAATGCTTATATCCTCTAACCCAGTCATCCCGCCAAGAAGGAAACAGTAATATGTAATGGAAAAAAAGCTTATGCAGAAAGATGTGGATGGCGGAGTTATTTAAAATACTGGAAAATCATTGTGCCTGGTACGTAGTAGGTAGTCAATAAATATTTGTTGATGAATAAATGAAAAATTTTCATGTTAATATCTCACAGTGGAGGAAAACAGCATATTTTACAACAGTTAATAATAATGCTCATAGAGAGCTGGTGTTCCCGTGGGAAAATACTTAGAAGGATTAAGGACTGTACAGTAGGACCATAACTATGCAAAAAGATACTGTCAGAAAAAGAAATCAGAAAGAACCATACCAAAATGTTAACATTGCTTGTCTCTAGGTGGTGGGATCAATGATAAATATCTTTTTTCATTTGATTTTGCTTTATTTTCCAAATTTTCTACACTGAGAATGTATTCCTTTTATAATCAGAAAAAACAAAATTAAGGTATTATTTTTTAAAAAGAGAGAGATGGAGAGGCTTGTGAGATAAAATCCTACACCAACACACAGAGAGAGTCTGATAGCCCTAACTTATAAAAAAGCTAGGACCTCAGATTTAATGGTCTCCTCTTAGTCTCCTGGAAAGACTTGACTTGTATTCTCAGGTCTGATAACTAACGTCTTTACTGTAACACTGTCCCTTCCCCACCGACTACACTGTATAAGGAAGAGGCTCCCAAACAGCTCACCAAGAAAAGTAACACGGATAAATTACAAAACTGTGTGATTCTTTGTCAGAGAACGGTGACTGAAACAGACAGGATGATAACACATTAGGTTCAATACTGTGGCCCCACACGTGATCGCCATGAAAACTGAATGAGAGAACGTTAGGTACTTGGTACAGTGTCAGGTTGATCGAGGCTTTGCCTCTATCACACCAGTTTATCACAGTATCTCACAATGATCCGTTTACACGTGTTCTCCTTTACTGGACTGTAAGCTGCCCGAGGGCAAACACTTTCATTGATCGCTGCACTCTCCACATCTACCATGGAGTCCGCTCATGGCAACTGCTCAACCACTATTACTGAAGGAAGGACTGGATCAGTGTCTCAGCCCCTTTATTAAAGTCACTAGACTTGGTACACTCATCTGGCAACTTAGGAAATAATAACTGCAGGTATTTTTTTTCATGTTCCCAACAGACAAATTGATTGAATGAGGTTGACAATAGCTTTCTGTGATGGGGACGAGAATTTACATCCCTCCTGGAATATCTCCACCACATCAGAACATAAGCTTTATCAATAGATTAATGGGACAGGTTGTGCATTTGACCATAAATGGCAGCTTTCTAATAACATCATATATATAAGAAAAACACAACTTTTATAATTATTTTATAATGTAAAAGCAGAATATGCTTCTATCTCCTGCCATTGCCTTAGTTTAGACCCTTGTTATTTCTTGCCTAATCTGTTGCAACAGCTTCCAAATTCACCTCTGTGCCTCCCATCTTATGCCTTCAATTCATCCTCCACACAGATGTCAGTTTTTCTCAAACACTGATCCTCACGTCACTCCCTGGTTTAAACCTGACCGCTAGGTCCTAACACCTACAGGGTAGGGTTCTAATCTCAGTGTCCTGACACGCCTGGCCTGACCTCTGTCACAACAGTTACGCCCATCTGTCCCCCTCCTGGACTGCTTGCTGCTTGTTTCCAACTCTTATCTGTGATCTCGGCACCTAGAGGAGAGTCTGACAGGACAGGAGGGACTGATATCCATTGACTGACTGGGTCCCAAAATCCCAGTGAAAAATCCTAGCGCCCTCCCTTGACCAATGAACTGACTCAGCTTTTGTACCTTACCAAGAGAGCAGTTGCTCTGCATCCGTCCATCCGTGGAGCAGCGGAGCATAGAGCCTATCACCTGGCCCCCTACCACCACCACCCGGATATCTTTTCCGTGGGACTCCTTCACATACTTCTGGAACAGGTAGGGCACATCATGGCGGATGAGATGGCAGATGTCTGAGATGTGATGTTTATCTCTTGCAAGAAAAACAGCTTTTCCTTTAAGAAGAAAGACAAAGAGCAAGAGAAGTAGTTACAGAAGCCTCTGAATCCTGTGCCAGCCGTCCCACCTCCCTGGCCGTCCCACACAGTCATCTACTCTTTCCAAACTTGCCTCAGCTTGGCCACTTCTATTTCTCACACCAGACTCCTGCTTCTTATCAAATAGCCATTGAACTTTAGTTTCTCTTGATTTTACTCAGGTCCCTCTCCCTCCACCACCATTCTTTTTTCAAAATGACATAATAATGTATTCCAGAAATACAGAGAAGGGGGTCAAGATAAAATCCTAAGGATCTAGTCAATTCAGGTCCAAAAACAGTTAGCTAGCATCTTTTATCACCCCGAGGATGTTCATTAGGCTCATCACACTGGGCTCAATGCACAAAGCAAGTGTCAATCAATATTACAGAATATAATTAATTGAACATATGTTAGAGGAATTCCAAGTCTAGATGGAGAGAGATCCAAAAAAGATAATTACAACACAGCATGATATGGCACTAAGAGAGGTCTGTGCAAATACTATGGGAGTCCAAAGAGGGAGCCGCTGACAGCCACTCTTCCTCCCTGTAAACCTAAGAAACTTATTATTTGGTTACACCTATTAATTCTAAAGGAATGATCTATACTTCTATTGATCTCTGGGGAAACCTTTTTCTTTTGACTCCAAATTCTTCATTTTCTGCTTGAATCACCCATACTTTTGTGATTATTTGGCATCTGCTTTCCATTGGCACATTAGCTAACAGATCTGAGCAGGGCTTCCTGATAGGTTTGCTCGGCAAATCTGACCTGAGCATTCTTGTTAGCAAATATGAAACTAAAAGATGGTTTTCCTAAGATGCATGCCACCACCTTAAATGGAGTGGGACTCTTCTGAAGTCTTAATGAAGAGTGACAGGCATCAGCCGCTAGTGGCAGATAAGACTGAAAAGTAACCTCCAAAACAGGTCTCAATCATTGGACACTTGGCAAAGGAGATCTGGCCCTGGCATCAGAGGGCTGGGATGTGGTCACAGGCACGGGGGGTTCTCTAGACAGGAGGGAGGATTTTCAGCAGAGATGGGGGCTGGGAATAGGGGCTGGATTCCCTGGTTCCTGGCAGAGGTTCTAATATGGGGCTTACTTAGTCTGTGGTTAATAAAGGAGCTACAGTTTTAAGGCAAGGAGGAAAAAAAAAAAAAAAGAGGTAGAAGGACACTAAGATTAATCATCTACTATGTGCTGAAGACTATGTTTTTTTATTATTTCATTTATACTTCATACTAACCCTGTGAAGCCATTAGGACAAAGATAGTTATTTCTGTATTACAGATGAGGAAAATAAGGGTCCACCAGACTAGTAACTTTCTCAAAGGTACAACCTGTACCAGTCCGCTGCGTTCTTTAGATTTATTTCCATATGCTAGAATCTAACTTAACTGCTGTAACTTTGTTTATTTCCTATCTATTTTCCCTAAGATACTACATGTTACACTAGTGATGAATAATCTGAAAATGAAGTTAACACAATTCCATTTAAAATAGCATCAAAAGGAATAAAAAATTTTAGGAATAAATTTAACCAAAGAAATACAAGATTTATACACTGAAAACTAGAAGATATTTTTGTTTTAAGAAATTGAAGATCTAAATAAATGGAAAGACATCCCATGTTCAGAGACTGGATAACTTACTGTTGTTAAGAAGGCAATACTCCTCAAATTGATCTACAGATTCCATGCAATCCCTACCAATATTCCAATTTCTTTTTTTACAGAAATTGATGAGTTAATCCTAAAATTTATATGGAAATGCAAGACACTCAAAGCAGCTGATACAAACTTGAAAAAGAAGGACAGAGTTCGAGGACTCATACTTCCCAATTTCAAAACTAACACAAAGTTAGAGTAATCAAGACAGTGTGGCATGGCATATGTAGATCAATGGAATAGAACTGAGAGCCCAGAAATAAACCCTTTCATTTATGGTCGATTTTTTTTTGGGGGGGTGAGGAAGATTGGCCCTGAGCTACCATCTATTGCCAGTCTTCCTCTTTTTGAGGAAGATTGTCACTGAGCTAACATCTGTGCCAATCTTCTTCTATTTTGTATGTGGATGCTGCCACAGCACGGCTTGCTGAGTGGTATATAGGTCCACATCCAGGATGTGAACCCACAAACCCTGGGCTGCTGAAGCAGAGGACACAAATGTAACCTCTATGCCACCAGGCTGTCCCGAGTCAATTGATTTTTGACAAGAGTTCTAAGAACATTCAATGGGGAAAGAACGATCTCTTCAACAGATGATACCGGGAAAAGTGGATATCCACATGCAAAAGAATGAAGTTGGACTCCTATATCCCACCCTCTAAACAAATTAACTCAAAATAGATCAAAGACCCAAGTGTAAGGGCTAAAACTATAAAACTCTTAGAAGGAAACACAGGTGTACATCGGGGTGACCTTGGATTAGGCGAGCACAAAATGACATCAAAAGCAGAAGCAACCGGGGAAAAAATAGATGAATTGGACTTTATCAAAATCAAAAACTTTGTGCAGCAAAGGACACTATCAAGAAAGTCAAAAGACAACCTAGAGAGTGGGGAAAAAACATGTTCAAATTATATATCTGATAAGAATGTAGTAGCCACAATATATAAAGAACTCTTAAAAACTCAACAATAAAAAAGACAAATAATCCAATTGAAAAATGGGCAAAGGATTTGAATAGACATTTCTCCATAGAAGATATACAAAATGGCCAAGAACCACATGAAGAGATAGTCAACATCATTTGTCATTAGGAAAAGACAAATCAAAGCCACAAAACCATAAGATGCCACATTACACCCACTAGGATGGCTGTAAATAAAAACAAATAAATAGTAAATAAATAAGTGAATGAATACTAAATAAAACAAGGGTTAGGGAGGTTGTGGAGAAACTGGAACCCTTGTACACTGCTGGTGGGAATGTAAAATGGCATAACCGTTACGGAAAACAGTTTGGCAGTTCCTCTGAATTACTATATGACCCAGCAATTCCAGTCTTAGGTAGATACCCAAGAGAAATGAAAACATATGTCCACACAAAAACTCATACACAAATGTTCACAGCAGCACTATTTATAACAGACACAAAGTGGAAACAACCCAAATGTCCATCAACTGATGAACAGATAAAGAAAATGTGGTATATCCACACAATGGAATATTACTGAGTCATAAAAAGGGATAAAGTACTGAGGCAAGCTACAACATTATGTTAAATCATGTAAAAAAATTATGCTAAGTAAAAGAAGCCAGACACAAAAGGCCACATATTATATGATTTCATTGATAAGAAACATCCAGAATAGGCAAATCCATAGAAACAGAAGGTAGATTAGTAGTGCCAGGGACTAAAGAAGGAGCAACTGGCACGGACTCCTACCTTTTGGGAAGATGGAAATATTCTGAAATTAAATGATGATGATGACTGCACACAATAGTGAACACTCTACTAAAATCCACCAAATTATATGCTTTAAAATGGTAAACTTCTAATGTGAATTCAAACTTTGAAACATTTTTAAAAACTACATATTCTACTTAATTTCTGTTTATTGTCTGTCTTACCTTCCTACAAGGTGAGCTCCTTGATGGCAGGAATTTTTGTTTTGATCCTTTCTGTATCCCCAGAGCCTAGAAGGGTGCCTGGCCCTCTGTGGGCACTCAATAAATATTAGCTGAATTTTGTGTTACGTGTATTTTACCATGATAAGAATATTCGTTGACAGCCCCTGACTTTTAGCACTGCAACGTAACCGAGTAGTATTAGAGGCCCCCTCGCCGCCCAAACTCCTTTCTCTCACTCGTCAACAGGACCCTCCACCCTCCCAGGCTGCTTTGCTCACATCTGCCCTGCAGTTTGCTCACTCTCTTCCTCCAGTGCGAACGCCACACTCCAACTCAAGCCTCCTTTCCTTCCAATGACACTTCCCTGCCCTGTGGCAGGGCTGGCCTCTCCCTCCTTTAGGCTCAACCAGATGCCTCCCACAGCGGTCCCCACGCTGCCACGCAACTATCTCTACTCTCTACACACCGGAGCTCCGTGGTCAGGTCCCGTCCACTTCTGTGCACAGTCCCCACATCAGAGGAATGGCTCACTGCGTGTCTCTTTAGGGCACTTCCTCTCACGCCAGATGCCCTGAGCGTTTGAGTGTGCCATCTGGGTGTCATCATGAGTTACCTGCTCACACCCTGCTGCAGTGTCCTCTTCCACAGCTACTGAGTCCTACTATGTACTGAGCACATCATAGGTCTCAGAGACAGAGATGCACAGGACCTGGTTCCCGCCCCAAGCAGTTCAAAGTCAAGAAAGGGAAAAGGCACATAAACCTGTGACTGTCATCAGGTGTAGGACTATGCTAGGGGCGTGGACAAAGTGCTATAGAAACCCAAAGGGAAAAGTAAGTAATTTTGTTTGGAAGAGAGGGAGGGAGGCCAGAGATGTGGAGAGAAAAGAAATGACACCTGGAGCTGGCCTTAAAGGGTGAGCAGAAGTCCAGCAGAGGAAGACGGCCTTCCCAGCAAAGGGACGAGAGCAGAGGGTGAAAGAGAGGGAAACACACGGCCTAGTTGGGGAAAAAGCAGACGTCTAGGATGGACTGTGGAGGGCCCATGTGGCCAGAGAAGGCTGCACAGGAAGGCTGCGGCTGTCCGTCCAGGGCCTGCAGTGCCAAGGGGGGGACCATGGACTTTGACTAACAGGCAACGAGGCTCTTGGGAGGGTTCTTCAGCAAGGCAGTGACAAGAATAGATCTATGCTTCAGAGAAATGACTCCCCCAAAAGAAGACAGGATGCACTGGCAGTGCAGTTAGGGAAAGCAGAGTCAAGTCAGGAGTCTGCTGCCATAGTTCGGGGAAGGGATGAGAGGGCCTCACGAATGCAAGGACAGTGGGGACAGGAGGAGGGGACAGAGGTTGGGACAACGCTGCAAGCTTCCCAAGGGGGAACTCCGCTTCTCCAGGCCTGAGGAGGGTGGTGCCTGGCAGAGCCCCGGCTCTAAGGGAAGCCCGGGAGGAGCGGCACTGACCCTGGTGTCCTCGCGTGCTCTTCACCACAACCGGGTAGCCCAGGGGCTCAGCTTCATCGATCATTTTTGAAAAGTCTTCATGCCCACCTGCCAAGAAAAGAAAGTCAGGGAAAGTGAGGCTGACAGTCAGGGAGCAGTCAGCTCAGTGCTGCCCCCACCGTGAGAATTAATTCAAGGCCTCGTGTCTCTCTTATTCAAACCATTTGAACCCATCCGATGGGACAGACACGCATTGTGCACCTGTAATATAAAAGGTGGGAGCAGAGAGATAAGGACACCAACATGCATCAAGTACTTCTATGAGGCAAAGGCATCACAGGCTCCCATTCATGGAATCCTCATAACAACCCCATAGGCACAGTAGGTTATTTTTTCTTTTATAATGGCTGAAGTAGGCAGAATTTTAAGCCCCCAAGATTCCTACCTGCTGGTGTACACACCCCCTCTTGAGTGTGGGAGGACCAGTGAATATGACAGAATATCATTCTTGTAATTAGGTTTAATAATCAGTTGACTTTGAGTTGATCAAAAAGGAGGTGATTCTTCGTGAGCCTGACCTAATGAGGAGAACCCTTTAAAAGAAGGTAAAGAATCAGACAGACTCTCCTGCTGGCCCTGAAAGAGCAACTTGCCACACTGCAGAGAAGGCCATGTGGCAGGGACACTGGGCAGCCGCCAGGAGTTAAGAATGGCCCTCAGTTGATAGCCAGCAAGAAAGTGGGGACCTCAGTCCTAGAACTGCAAGGAACTGAATAACCAACCGCAACCAGTGAGCTTGGAAGACCCCAGATCTCAGATGAGATCACAGCCCTGCTGTCCCATCCAGCCTCGTGAGACCTGAGCAAAGAACCCAGCTATGCCGTGGCTGGACTTCCGACCTACAGAAACCATGAAATAATAAACGGTGTTAGTTTAAGCTAAGTTTTTAGTATATTTTAGTAGTTTGTTACACAGCAATAGAAAAATAGTACCCAAAGAAACCAAGCCTGGGCATTTGTCTCACCCGAAGTTAAGGCATGACTCGAAAGCCTGAAGTGGCTCTGCTACACTTGTTTAAGCCTTAATTTCAAAAATATGAATCATGCATATTAAAATATTTCTAAATCACTTTACAAACTTCCTTGATTTCCTATACATTTGCATCTTTGGGGACCGCCATCCTGCCTACCACAGGTGTCATGGTAGTTCATCAAGTTTTACAAAGCAAAACACTCTGGAATACTGATAAGACCTGTCGTTCATAAAAGTGCTAATAATTAAAAAAAATGAAGAGGTAGTGTAGATAACCAGGGGCGTCTTTATCAAGAGGATATTTTATAAGAGAACTCCCAACTTCCTGAGATCAGTGATAAATTTAACTCCTCTCTAGCCATCTCTTTTTCCTTTCCTTATAACACAGGGAAAGAGGTGTTCTTCTTATCTAAGGCCATCCCTGCACCTGTGCTTAGGACCCCTCTCCCTCTCACCTCCTCAGGGATCTTGCACCACTTAGGGTCCCCTCTCTGCTGTATCTTCAATCTCCCAGTTCCTAATTCCACCAGCATTTTAAACCTGCTCAGTTCTCTCCCATGTTAAACGAACAAAACCCCTATTCCTTGACCCTGCATCATCCCTTAACGACAGCTTTGTATTCCTATAATTGAACTACTCCTACTCGAAAGGGTTTCGATTTCCTCATCCCTGACCATTTGGCTTCTCTCCCCATCACTAAACCGAAGCTGTCTTCATTCAACTCCTCATTGCCAAATCCAACACACGCCTCAGTGCTTATGGCACTTGTCCTTTGAGTCCAACAATACTTCCAGTGATACCATCCTCTTGGAATGCTCTGTCCATTGGCTGCTGTGATCTCTCTTCTCTCTCTTTTCACCTCTCTAGTTGCTCCTACTTTCTCTCTGCTATAGGTTTCTCTTCCTTTCCCCATTCCCTAAAGGACTCCTTGAACCCTCTTTTACTAAATTTTATTTTTTATTGTGATAAAATTTACCATTTTAACCCTTTTATGTGTACAGTTCAGACCTCTCTTCATTCTACATATTCTCCCTGAGTAATCGCATCCATTCTTGTGACGTCACTTAACACAATGAAGGTTTCCAAGTCTACTTTCTTAGTCTACACCTCTCTCAGGAGCTCCAGATCCATTTATCTGCCCCTACTGAGTATTTTTACTTGCATATACTATAGACACCTCAAACAGAACATGTCCCCAACTGAAATCATGTCTCCTCAGCCATTCCTCGCCCTCTACCCACCAATCTGTTTCTCATCTCGTGAGTGTTTGCTTTCACATCTGGTTGCCCAAACCAGAAACCAGAGTCGCTCTTGATTCTTCTCCACACTCTTCGCATCCAATCAATCGTGTCCTATGATTTCTATCTCCTGCATAATTCCTGAATCTGTTCCTTGATCTTCATTCCAACCATGGCCATGTAGTTTAGACCATCATTGGTCAATGGAATTATTTAAAAAGGCTACCACTACATATCTTGTCTCTATTTTGCCCCTGTCCACTTCCTTGTCAAGAGTGTAGCCAAAGTGATATTCCAAACTCTGATGAGGGCACCCCCTTGCTGAAAGACTTCTAATAACTCCCCGTTAGTCTCAGGATTAAGCCTAATCTCCTTCCTGTGCTGTACATGGCTCCTTCTTGTTTTTATAGCCTTAGATCTCAATTCTATCTCCCTTACGTCCTGCAAACTATTCACAATACCACCAATCGGTCATGCTCTCTCTTGCGTTTAGGTCTTTCTATATTCTGCTGCAGATGACTCTGCTTGGACAACTCTCCTGCATTCCTTGCTTTAGCTGGATACACTGTCAGCTTAGTTTAGATGTTCTCTCCTTCAGGAAGCCTCCTCAATATCTTCTAAACCACATGAGGAGCTCTCCTATCTATTCCTGTACCTCCTTGCACTAACTCTTACGGTGGCACTAACTACACAGCACTGAAACTGCCTGTGTACCTGCTGTCCTCTGCCTCCGATGAACTGGGAATGCCCGAGGGTGGGACTCTCCACTTACTGCTAGAGCCCAGTGCCCAGTGTGGTGGCTGACACATAGCGTGCACCAGATGCATAGTTAATGAGTGAATTACAGAGACAAAGATGCAAAGGCATTCCAGACAGAGGGAATGACCACGATAAAGACTCAAGATGTTGAATCACCTAAAATGAACAGACTCACATTGAAAACCAACGAAAGATACTAGAGGGCTTCCAGGAAGAGAAAACACAGAGCTGCAGGTGGTTTGGAAAGCTAAGTTCCAACTCTATTTCCAGAAGACTCACCATAGGAGAAAGTGTCTGGCATGGGCACCCCATGTCCAGCCAGCTCTTGGAATGTCCAGAATTTGTTGATGCAGTTTAAAATGCTCTGTGGGCGGTTGACTAGGCGGCAGCCCAATTTCTCCAGGTGTCGCAGGACCGTGATGTCACTGTCCGACTGCACTGAGGGTGTGGGCACCCGGACGAGCACCACGTCTGGGAAGGTGGTGAGTGCCTTCTGGTTCAGCTGTAGGCCTGCAATCGGAGGACAAAAGTGAGCTCTATGCTCGCCGTAGTCGGGTCTCACAAGAAGAACAGGCTCCAGCAGACTCCTCAAGACTGAACCGAGCAGGAAGACAGCCTTGAAAATGGCACTTGGGTCTCCTGTTGTAACGAGGAAGCTACAGTCAACCCTATACTCCAAACAAATGGGTAGAGCGTGAGTATGAGGAAACACACAAGAATGAACAGAAAAAAACAAAGGCAGCATATGGAGAATAACCCCAGTTAGCAGAATCCACAGGGGATAACATAGTCCAGCACCTTCCTCCCATTGGGCACTAGTATTACTCAAAGTGTAGTGGCTCAGGAGACTGGAGACGTAACGAAACGAAAGCAGTGTTGCTCACTTAAGGAATCCTTACTACTCTTTTCTGACTTAACCTTAAAAAGTCTCTCTAGAATATTATGTAACCATTTAAATGATTTTCCTCAATATAATGAATGCAAAAAATGTCAATGGTAAGTGAAAATACCCAGACACAAGGTTATAAAGACAAGTTAGAAAAGGCTGGAAGGAAATATACCAATATTTTAATAGTGGGTAATGGAATTATAGGTGATTTCCTTTTTTACACTTATCTGTATATTCCAAAATGTCTCCAACTGCATATTACCTTTACAACAAAAACATTTTAAAAAAATCAACCTATGAAAAATTAATTCCACATTAAACAAAACTAGAATGCACCCAGAGACAACTGCTGCTTACTGCAGAAGGACCTGAACCTAGAGGACACTGGGTAAGCTGGGACTACTTGCCGGAAGTGAAGGCTCAGAGGACCAGGAGTGCAGTCTTAAGTATCTGCAGGGCTTCCAAGCAGAAGAATTATTTGGCTCATCTTCTATGATCCCAAGAGACAGAACTATCCATGAGCATTATTTTTTCCTCCAGCCCCGAGAACAGTGCCTGATGCATGACACGCACTTGATGTTTGTTGAATTGTACAGAAGCTACAGGGAGATAGATTTGGGTTCAAGAAAAGGAAACTTTTCCACTGCCTTAGGATGGAATGAGCCGAGGCTCACTGGTCACCCAAGGCTGACCCAGAAGGAATGCAAGGGTCAGAAGCTCACCGCAACCTGTTTGGTCTCTTTCAACCCTGAGATCCTATGGTTGTATCACTTTAAGTAGTTACCTAGGCATCTCAGGTGCACCCAGCACCTGGGGATGGGATGATGGAAACGGAAAATAGGATGGGTAGGGCAATGAGAAGTGGGTTCAGGGAATTACTTGGTCTGCCTTTGCAACCCTTAAAGGAGTCTCTAAAATGCTCTAAAGAAAATCTTTTAAACACAGTTTCAGAACCACCATATAGGCTTTAACCTAAAGCGCTATTTCATAAGAGATACACTGCACAACCATATAATTCCCAGAAGAGAAAAGGTGCTAAAGAAGTTACTATTTCCCCGTTGGGGGATGAATAATATCAATACAAAAACTGTAAGCAAAGCAAAATAAAACCAAGCCAAGCAAACAAAAAAACCAAAACCACAAAACTACCAAATGGATCTAACTTGCACTGTTTCTCCCCACCCTGGGAGATGTCTCATCAATTTAAAAAGAGGGGGTAGGTGCAATCATTAAGATAAATTGTTTCTGGTACTTCTGCTGACAGCGTGAATCCAAGGAGCTGGACCATAATTCTCAGGGGCGATTTAGAGAAAGTATTCAGGTTATCTTCACTCTGCCATCAGAAGGCAGTATCATTTATATACGCTTTTTCCTTTTCCACGGACAGCCCCTGTGAAAAATGATATAAAAGGGAGAAAAAAGCCAACCTTGTACAGTACCCTCAAAATTGGTAAGAGAAAAAAGAAAGAAAAGTATTCAAGTTGGTGAAAATGGTGAGTAAATACAGAACATTCAGGGAAAAAGCAACAGCCCAGGACATTACATAATGAGATAATATATGCAAAATGCTTTGAACTATAAAATGCTATACATACGTAAGGCACTGGCATTATTACTGCACAGACATTCTACTAAGCAAGGTAGGACAATTTATGGAGATTTGTATCACCTGATGAAAAAAATGGCTTTGCAACAGAAAAGTGACCTAGAGAAATGACAAGCAGCAGAAACGTCTGGCTTTTCAATCCCAACACGAGACCACAGACAAACAGGTAAACTTCTAAATGAGAGAAAAGAACTCAATCATCTCTGGAAGTACCAACCACAAGTGGACAGAGACAGCTGAGCCTCAACAAGCAGATTCACACAGACCTAGGAAGTCTTACCAGGACTTCATCTCTCTTCTCCAAAGGTAAATCTTTGGGCCTGGCTCATTCCAACTGAAGCCTTTAATAAACGAAGAATGGAATGGGTTAAAGTGTAGCCAAAAAGGCTCTCCCAAGCACTTAGACAGGTCTGGCCTCTGACTCTGCCGGCCGTCCAGCTCGTGCAGAGAGGCACACGGCACGGTTAGGGACACATCTGCACAACCAGTTACTTCTCTGCCCATTGACACAGCTCCGGCATCCTTGCTACGGGCACCTTCACTTGCCCCCTGTTCATTCCCGCTCCCTGTGCCATCTGAACCTAACCTACATCACCATTTCTAGAAGGAGTAGGCATGAGGCTGCCACTCACTGTGGCTTCGGCAGTTTCACACAGCCATGGCCAACAACAGCTTGGGTTTAAGGATGGCCCTTGGCAAACCTATCAATGAATTCTGAGACCTTTAACCACTTAGTAATCTCTCTCCCTCTCAGCATTAATATCGCCTCTCAGGAAAGGACCTGATAATACAGGATGGAGCTTAATGTGTCATCTTTCCCAGGATCCTTAACATCTCCACTGCAATCTACAGGCCTCAAGCCAAGGGAACGAAGAGCTGATGCAGGACATCAGGGAGGACAGGGCTCCGCCTGGCTGCCAGTGAGCGGAAGGAAAGCCCTTGACAGTGAGAGGCTGGTGCCCTCGAGTAAGAAGGGATTTCATGGAATTAAGTGTCCTACTGCTCTCGGCATCACTTGACCTGGGGAGCAGGGCTGGGGGAAGGGAGCCAAGTTGCTTCTGGCATATTTGGGGTCTCCCAGACTCCTACACTGGGCTTGAGAGTTAATATTTAGCCTCGAACAACTTTTTTTTTTTTAACTAAAAAGATCACTCTGTCCCAAAACAGGTCCAAAAGATAGTGAAAAAGATCAGACCCCAAACTAGTGAGCACAATGACCAACAGCCAACCTAGTCTAAATCGACTTTTTGAAACCACAACAATATTTTCTCCATATTATTACTTCTAAAAAGAATAATCTACTTTCATGGGTAATTGTGTTCTCATTTCCTTTTGAACTCTCCATTATTTATATTTTGAAATACTTTAATGTATTAAAAACAAGATAGAATAATGGGATAACTTTTCCCAAAGAACTGAACCTGTTTTTTTCTAGCTTATATATCCAGTTAAATTAACTCAACTCCTACAAAACTAGACTTTCACAGTTGTATATGCCATAGCAAAGAAATCTACTATATAATACAGAGAAGCAGCTTTAGAAATAAGCAAACCATTACTGGAAAGTAGAGCTCTAAAAATTAAAAACCATTCTCATCATACAAACCAAGAGGGAAATAGAAGCATGGATAAGAAAAGGTACAGACATAGATCTGAATTGGGCTGGCATTTTTATTGAGCATCTGCTGTGTTTTAGGAGCTTTGCTAAGAACTTTCACATATATTATCTCATTTAAGTTAGAAGTGTCTAGTAATATGAAACCTGCAATAGATCTGACTGTAAAAGTCTTTGCATTTACACAGAACTGACGAAGAATGGGTCACAGCCTCCCAACCTGTGCGCACGCAGCACTAATTTATGTGCACACACATATATCCTGGGCTTCGCAAGAGAAAGCTTCAAAACTCAACTGGTTTCCAGTATGCTAGAAAACCCCCTCATGTACAAAGCAAGCGGCAGAAATAAGAAAGCAGCAGGACACTGCAGCGTGAGAGCAAACAAGGACCTCACTGACGGCGGCCTTCGGAACCATTATTTTAGCAGGATCACGAAACAGTGGCTTATAGTGAGCTCTGAAAGTTATCAGAAAGGAATCGACAACATAAAGAAATAAAGTAGGTAGACAATACATTAAGCGCTTCATATTATCTTGGTGTGTTATGAGGAAGATGTGTCATCTGAAATATGATCTGGCTTATCTCAGTCACTCCCCAGGTGTTTTCACCCTACCCCCAGCATTTCCTCATAAGGAAGTTACTTTTATTCTTAATGAGGAGACGCTGTGGCCACTCCTCCTTCCCTCTTAAAGTGCTTTGTTACAATGCCCAAAGAAATCTCACCTCCGCCTCATTAAAATCACAGTCATTATGTCGCCACTTTCTCTTTCTACCAAGTGCTATTTTGAGGTCATTTAATCCAATTCAACCTTTACTGAACTGTTGGGATGAGTCAGACACACTATTAAGCAGGAATACAACGACGAACCAGGTGGTCTCTGCCTACCCGGAACTTAAAGTCTCCTTATGAAGAAAGACAGACACAACTTTAACATCCATTCATTCACTCAACACACATTTCCTGTTTCATGCATTCATCCAGCAAATATTTATTTAGCACCCACTTTGGCCAAGCCCAGTGTTAATTTGGGTTTCCCCAGAAGCACCCTCCAGAGACAAGAACTTAAGTGCAAGAGGTGTATGAGGGCAGTAACTTCAGGAAACACTGGTGGGGAGTAGAGAAGGGAATGTGGCAAAAAGAGGGTGAGTGACCACCCTGGGCAGCTCCAGGAAATGCGTTAGTGCCCACGCCTCAGTTATTCCACCTGAGGGGGCGACAGAGCTGGCGATTTATCATTTTTATACATCAACTCAGTCTTTGTGCGAGGGCTGCTCCAGGAGCAGGATATTAATTCCTTGGCCCTTCTGGTTTCCAGGCACGTGTGGGCAGTGGGCTCCTGCGACCAGAGGAAGTCCTTAGACAGAGATTCGGGGGCTGGTGGTTAGAAATGGGGCCCT